GTGGGAAGGCCCTGGGTGCCTTTGAGTTCAGACTCAAACTCAAGGGCCCTGGGGGTAGTAGCCAAAAGGGAAGGGCCTGGGAGCAACTAACCCATTAGTACCTGGGCCATCAGCCAGCACTCACCAGCAGCTTTCTCCTATGCTTTCTTAAGTCACTGGGCTGGAAGAGAGAGTGAAGGGTGAGCACACACTCACCCTCTGGATACCCTAAAGCCAACCCCAAGGGGACCCCCCATGGTCTTAGGATGAGAAGATAGGATTCAGAGCCTCACACAGGCCTGGAGAGAATCACATCAGAAAAAATCCTGGCCTAGAAAAATAAGCCAGGGTTCCCTCTGGAGGAGAGGAAAAGGTGTGGGCAGTGGGTGAGTTTCTTAAGCATTCTGGGCCTATCCAAAGAACCCAGGACAGGCTGGTGGCCTGACATGTCAGGGTCTACACACATCATGGGAAGAAGACACCAGGCCCAACTGAGAGAAGGGGAGCCCGCCATCCCCTTAGAACCTCCCCCAGCACAGAGCCCAGCAATGGCAAGGGTGCTCAGCAGCCGCCTCTCACCAGGGTCATGACCCCCATGCGGTCCAGGTCCTGGGCAGCGCTGCGTGAGGTAAGTTTAGGTGTGGAGCGGCCGCTGAGTGGGGGGGACGCACTGGCCAGGGACAGGGCGGTCAGAGAGGTGGGGATGGAACCGCGCTTGCGCAGCTGTGTCAGGTTTAGGGCCTCCATGCTGCCGCTAGTCACGCGTGTCTCAATCTCCTCAGCGCGGAGCTCTGTGGACTCCTTCTCTTCCTGAATCATCCTAGACAGTGGGCAAAACCAGACCTCGCCATTAGCCCCAGCAAGGACCAGCAGGAGGCAGAGCTTGGTGATGCCTGCACTCCCCACCCTCTGACCACACACACAAGGCAGTGCCCATTGTTGTGGCACTGTGGGTATAGACAACATCCGGCTGGCATGCTTGTCCTGTCCCACCCGGTAGGGCTTAGAAACACATCTCTCTTGTTAGCTGGCCTGCTTCCCTAGTGTAACAGTTGCTGAGGAAGGAGGCAATTCAGTCAGTGGAACACAAACTGTCCTGGAAGTCAGAATTCTTGTCCTACCATGAACTACAAGGGCGACCTTGAGTCAGGCATTTGGCCCTCTGTGCCTCTGTTCCCAACATATTCCACATCTGGAGTTGTCTAAGTCAGTAGTTCCCAAACAAGTACTTTTATCCAATACTGGTCCCAATGGGGTTTTCACTGTTCCACAGAAAAATGAAAAAACAATGACGATGGTGAAAGTGTGGGCAGGAGGCACTCAGCGAGGAACATGAGTGCATACACACTCACACACACATGTGCTGATGTAAGGTGCCCACGGTCTTCCAAAAAGAAGGATTTATCTTTATTCTTTATTCTGAGAGTATGTCCTTCCTGCTTTACGGATGTTAAAATGTTCTTTCTTTTGCAGAATGATTGTGACAGTAAATGTAGTTATCTTTAATGTCTTATTTTGCAAAATAAAAAGTGGGCAGTCCTAGCCTGAGCAAGAGCAAGATCCCATCTCTACTAAGAATAGAAAAACTAGCTGGGTGTTGTGGCAGGTGCCTGTTGTCCCAGCAACTCGGGAGGCTGAGGCAGGACGATTGCTCAAGCCCAAGAGTTTGAGGTTGCTGTGAGCTATGATACTACGGCACTCTTGTCTGAGCAACAGAGACTCTGTCTCAAAAAAAAAAAAAATTGGTGGTTCTATTGGTGGTTCTAAGTGCCCTTCTCTCTCTCTCTCCCACTCTCGCTTCTCCTCTGTATGTATATGTATGTATGTGCTCATGCATGTGTGTGTGCCTTCTGTGTAACTAGTCTGTGAAATCCAAAAGGTTGGGAACCATTAAGCTAGATGACCTCTCTAACTTGTGAAGCTCTGATACACTCAGACTCAGATTTCCCCTTGCTGTTTGTCATTAACATTAATAGACTCATTAAAAAGGCAGGATAAAGTGAAGGTTTTCCCAACTTTTCCTGCCACAATTTGTTTGATGCCTCATTACGGACAGGAGGCACAGCACAGTGGACCAAACAGACTTCAGTTTCAACCCTGGTTCTACCACTTACTGTATGGCTCTCTGCAAGTCACCTAACCTTTCTTAGTTTCTCTTCCCTTGTCTGTAAAGTGAGGATCATGCTGCCTACCTCTGGGACAGTGCTAAGACTGGCAGTAGCATTTATAAAGCTCTCACTCTGGGGCGGCACCTGTGGCTCAAAGG